GTGTTTGTTTTAATATATTTACGGTGAGGTGCGCGGTTCAAACCCACAAGATGCTCTGCTGGAGAAGGAGGGGCAATCTCCTCCTGTACCAGTCAGATCATATTTGACGGTACATGTAAAAATAATACAATAAAAATTTTAAAAAAATAAAAAATATTTACTGTGTTTAAAATAAATATACCCAGACATTTGCCATTTTATCACTATACAAGTACAATGTAGTGATAACGAATGACCGTCATCACCTTGTGCTCCCATCACCACTGGTAGTTTCTGACTTTTCCATAATCCTGGTCAGAACCCCCTTCAGCTGTAACTCCCTGTTCTCCCCTCCTCCCAGCCCCTGGTACCCATGAGTAAACTTCATCTCTCTGTGCGTGTGAATACTGGATATTTCATACATACAATATACAAGTATTTCATGCAGAAAATACAGTACATTTCCTTTTGTGTCTGACTTGTGTCATGTAGCATTTTCAGGGTGTGTCAAGGTCCTAGAACATGTCAGAGCCCACTTCTTTAGATGTAATTTTAGAATACGAGGTGACCCCATAAGGAATGGGTACATCATGGGAGCCTGTTGAGAAATTTCCTTCCTTTCCACACCTGCACCGGGAATGAAAGGCAGCCACAGGACGTAGGGCTGCTGGCTGGTGGCCACGGCCTGGTTGCTTTAACCTGCTGGGTGGAGACGGGTCTGAGGAGCGCCATCTCCGTATTTCTCCTCCTCTGAAGTCTCCTTATTAGCCTTGCCATTTCTATTAGCAGAACTAAAAAGATGGGTAAGTAGTTTCCTCGAAGTATAAAGCCCAGCCTGACATCAAAGAAGTTTTTAAGACATGAAAGTAGTAGAGGCAACAGCGAAACCACCACGTCTCTCTGAACAGATAGTGGAGCACTTGCATTACAGGCTCTTAGGGGGACACTTCAGATCGGGCCTCTCTCTGCTGCTTTTAAACCAGAAATGCCAGTTTCTCTCTGACCAATTAACTCATCCCACAGGAAGCTTTATGAAGGAAACATTCCAAGATGGTCCTCACAGCTTACATACATTATTACATTGTTACTTCATACAGTGAAAGATGTAACTGTGTGTTTTGTTTGTTGTTTTTGTTTTTTATTTTTTTAGAAAATGTATACTTTATTTGGTATAAATAGGTTTGAGCATATTCTTTTTTTAAAACAAATTTTTATTTTAATTGTCATTTTAACAAAAGTTTACAGAAAAGTTAGATTTTCATTCATTCATTGCTACACATTTTAACCCCCTCTTCCTCCCCCACCAAGTTGACTTTTGTTTCCATTCTCTTTTTATTGTGATTTTAACTAAAGTTTATTTTAAAAGTTGGATTTTCATTCATTGTTGCGTATTTTCCTCCCTACCCCGCCCCTAGTTCATGTTATCTTTTTAAAGTATTCTTTCACTATTATATGTATTTTTATTCTAACAACGCCTTTTATTCTTTTTAGTATTGTTAAAAATAACCTCTAAGTGCAATAAAAAAACTACCTGGACATGTTTTCCTAGGTGCTTTTATTATGAGCATTATATATTAGAAGAAATTGTTTGACTGGCCGCAAACCAGCATTTTCTTTTGTCTTCTTCAATCTCTGAACTTTCGAGTGTGCCTTTGGACGTGGCCAGCCATCTCCCTGGACTTGAGTGCACTGTCATGGGTGGGAGTAATATCCACTTCCTAAACAACAGGCCTCTGGAAACTCTGAGAAATGACGATATTTACAGAAAGGCTTCAGGTCTTTTCTTCATAGGGTCGCTGAGTCCTGCTTGACTCAGTGGCAGTCAACAAGAACCACACATGGGTGGACGGAGGCCGATGAGCTGCTAGTGTTTATGGGGAGGAGCGAGGAAGGGGCAAGAGAGACAAGGAATGCCAGAGGAAAGAGAAAAGCAGAAAAAGAGAGAAGCGAGGTGGGGGGATTCAGTAGACGTCCCCGTAACCCCACTCCCTGTAACCCCACATGGCCACCTGCCTGGATTTGTTCTTCACTAATTTTGATAAACATAGCTTTCCCTGTCACCCTGATGGTACCACTTCCTCTTGGCTATTCTGTCTTCTCCTCTCTTCCTTCTTGTCCCAAGTTCACCACATTTGTCTCATCTTGTCCCTTAACATTAGCCTTTGCTGCTCCCGAATCCTTGTTGGCCCTTCCTCATACACAAGGAAACCAAATTATTCAAATATCCTTGACCACTAAGATTGCCTTTTCTTCCTTGGGTAGACTGTTGCTCTGTGCCTTCTGTTATTTTTGCCTAATTGTGGCTTTTGCCATCGGCAGGAAAGGAAGCGGTCAATACCGATCCATTGCTGACGCTCTGACTGTGCGGGGGCTGGGGGGGAGTGTTACCATAATGCACATTAGAATATTGGAGAGGTCTCTGAATCCCTCCTCCTGAATGGAAGGTGCCAGCGCCTGGGCTTTATGGCCTTCTAATGTCAGGCCGTAATCTCATTGAGCGTCTTCCCAAAGTGAAAACGTGCATTAGGGCCTCCTAACAAGGCCCACAGATCAATACGGAGGCCGTGCTTCTGCCTCAGAGATGAGCCCGTGAAGATAAACAGGGTCTGGAAGGATGAAGGGGGATGGTTGCACTGTGGGTTTCCTCTCCTCTGTCCCCACTGCTGCCGTCTGATCATTGCACAGGTGGAAATGGGTGCAGAAGGCGTTTCTGAAGACAAGTGCATGCACATACTGCATACGTGTGTACCACACACACACACACATCTAAGTGAGAACCACTGATGAACAGGAGGCAAGGACCCTGGGAGTGAGTCCTGTTGATCTGCTGTGATAAAAGTATATTTTAACACATTTCAAATCATAAATGACTCATAGCCTTTAACTTGCACTACTCAGAGCTCAGCTCGAGGTGGATGGCCTCAAACTTGAACTTAGATGTTCCCTTCCTACAGACGTATTACCTCATGATGAAACCTTGAAGAGTAAGCCCCCCAGATGGCACCTCTCCTAGAGAGGGCTCACTCTTCACTGTCCTTTCCTGTATGTGGTAAGAGGGGGTGAAGAACTGGTCATCAAGGTCTTGTCCTCCTGCCCTGCCCTCCACCCACTCTTAAGTCTGAGATGCATGGGGGGGGATAGTCTGTACCCCCCACCAGGACCAAATGAAGCTCAGCTCTCCTGCGAGCCACTGGAACCATTAAGGCTGTTTGCTAAGTTCAGGTGACCCCAGGCTTAATCATATTTTATTCACTGTTTATCCAGACGTGGCTCTTGAGGTAATCAGCCAGCCAGTGGTGTCTCTGCTTCTGCCCTGGAAGGAAGCACAGCGATTCCTTTTAAATGCTGATGTTCATGGCGGGGGATTAGGGAAATTGATGCCCACAAAAACTCACAGCCATCCCAACTTCAAAATCTTGAAAAGAATTGAAACTCCTGGGATTGGATTTAAATTCTGTTCTTAGGTTATTTGACAAAGCAGCAAAGTAATGAATGGAGAAGGAAAGGCAATGTTATGTAAAATTTGGGGGATTATTTTTTTGTTTCCCTGGCTGTCGACTTTCTTTAGAGAATAGCAGGAAGGCGAGCCCTCAGGGGCCAGGACCATGGTTTGCATTTCCGTTTCTTCAGTCTAGCAAAGTATACATTAGCTTAGTGTGTTGGATAAAAGTAATGAGAAGACAAATCGTCACCCAGGGGTTTCCTTATTGATGAGAAATACTCCCCCTGTGCTCTCTCGGGGTTTTTCAGAACCCATTAAACTTAAAAAATGCCATTCTGAGATTACCAGGGAAATAACAAATTTCAATTTCAAGGAAAGAACAGATAGGAAAGACTGGATGCTTTTTCAAACCAAACAAAACTAATTTGGAAAAACTATTAATTCTGAAAATTTAAAGTAATGGTATTCCATACTTTCTGTGTATATTCATTTGGTTTAATCCACGTCCTGATATCCTCTTAGTTTTCCTTTATATGATGTAATTACTTGGTTTATTTTATTATCATTTTTCAAGTGTGTATTACAGACTGAGAAACATTGTTTTGGGTACAATGCATCTATGCCTCAGTCTGTCTTAAATCTCGGATTAATCAATATAATTGGTAAAATTTTCGCCCAGGAAATTTAAGTTTTGAGGTCCTCCCATTTTCCTTTCCATCTACTTACATTCCTTCAGCAAACAGTTGTTGAGTATCTGTGTCTGGGAGCTGAGGTTACAGAGAATGTGAGGTACTGCCCTCGTTCTTGGATCCGCCTCACATGTAATCCCTGCACGTAACCCTAGTTGTGTGCGTTGTGGGAGACATGAATGTGAGGTCAGTAAAGAGAGCCCGTTAGATTCTAGCAGGGAACAGAACCTTCGTGGAATCTGAAAGGAGGTGACACAGATGGAAAGTGTCTCAGGGTCTGGCCAGCCTGCCAGGTGTCCAAGGAATGAAGTGGAGGCTGACAGATAAGCAGGAGCCTGGCCAGGAAGGAGTTTTATTTTAGGAAGCAATAGGGAGAGATAGTCTTATCCGATTTGTGTATTAGGAAGAAGCCTCTAGAAAACACATGGAAGCCAGTGGAGAGGGCTAAAGCTGAGAACAGTTTGGGACGAGGGTGTGAATGATGCGGCATTAATATAACCACAGTGAATGTGGAGGAGGAAGACCACCCCGCTGCAGGGATAACCAGCTCTGACCAACTGGACGCGGACATGAGGGGCAGTCCTGACCCCTGAGCGTCCTGTGTTGGCTGTCTGGACTGAAGCCCAGTGTTGCCGTTCACATAGTTCCATTTGGGATTTGAGAAGGAGGTTTGTGATCTTACACCACCATCAATTAATAGAATGACGTTCATCGAAATCTTCACACTATCTTAAGTCTTATCATGGGAGCAGTTTGGAGATGTTTCTTCAGAGGTTGAGGACAATGATTTCTTAGACGTTTCTGTCTTACGCAGTGCTCTCTTACTCTTTTATTTTGGACTTGGCTCTGACCGAAGGCCCGCTGTCTCACTGTCCCCGTTTTGTTTGCAGGCGGTATGATTATCATCCAGTCTGCGCTGACCTGCAGGCCAGAATTCTCCAGTGTTACCGCCAGAACACCCATGAGACCCTCAGCTGCTCTGCGCTGGCTGCCCAGTACATGCACTGCGTCAACCAGGCCAAACAGGTGGGTAGGTTAGGGGTGAACGGGAGTAGGAAAGAGTCCTAAATGGAGGCTCCCATCATCATCCACAACATTCACCATGAAAGAGTCCCACTGCACTGCAATCCCAGAGGTACGCAGCTGGAATCCACCAGATGCTCTGCTGGAGAAGGAGAGGCAATCTCCTCCTGTACCAGCCAGAGCCAATTTGACGTTATACACACAAAATATGTCATTGTTATGTTGTTATGTGCCGTCGAGTCGTTTGGGACTCATAGCGACCCTATATACAACAGCCCTAAACCCTGCTCTATACTATGCCAATCGCATTGCCTCTGACACACCCATCCCGATTACCCCAGTCACTGAATCAATCCACCTCATAGAGGGTCTTCCCCTCCTGCACTGTCCCTCCACCCTCCCAAGCATGATGTCCCTCTCCAAGGACCTGTCCCTCCTTACAACATGTCCAAAGTATGTCAGACGAAGCCCCAGAATCCTTGCCTCCAAGGAGTAGCCTGGTTTAATCCTCTCCAGGATGAATCTGTTTTCTTGGCAGTCCATGGTACATTCAATACTCTTCTCCAGCACCACAGCTCAAAGGCATCAATTCTCCTTCTGTCCTCCGTAGTTATTTTGCAACTCTCTGATGCATAACAAGTGATTGCAAAGACCATGGCCTGTATCAGACACACCTTAGTCTCCAGACTGACACCATTGCTCTTCAGTATCCTGGAGAGGACCCTAATAGACTTTCCCATCGCAATACGTTTTTTAATTTCCTGGCTACTGGTGCACAAAATATAATTTTTAAGTTTTTTTTTAAGAAATAAAGAATCTCATCCAGGTAGCTATAGGGAGAATCCAGTCTTCGTTTATTTAACTTATTTCTGCCACTCCATTAAAAAAAAATCTTAGTAAAATTATACCTTTTCCTAGTTACCCCATACTTCTATCCCCCCTTTTGTTATCCGTTAATTTGCTCATGACGGCCTCGTGTGTGCAGAGTGGAGCCACTTCACAGGGTTTTCATGCCTTGACCTTTCGGAAGCAGATTACTAGAGCTGTCTCCCTGCACCTCTGAGTGGGTTTGAACTGCTGGCCCTTTGGTTACTCATCCAACATTTACCCATTCCTAATGCCCTCTGCTGTTGAATCTCTCTATACTGGCATCAGCATTGTCATTGTCCCGGTATTTCTGGATCCATATTCAGAGCCAGCAGAAGAGGACTTAAAATGAAAAGGCCAGCAACTTCAGATCCCTGAGCGGCAGCCGGTTCCGCGGAGAGGCTGGTGCAAAGCCCCCATCCAGTCCTTCCTTCCTCCAAGCTCAGAGTCCACTTTGGGGCAGGGCCATGGCCCTAGAGGCGGGCCATGGGAGCGTGTTTATGCACCAGAGCCCGTCTTCTCTTGATTCCTCTTATCAGAGAAATGTGTTCACAGGACGTGAGCGTCTGCTCATTCATGTACTTTAGAAAAGCTAATGATAAACCCAGGAGCAAATTATCTATTCGGGCAGGTCACTTAATTGCCTAGCATTTAACTGATTTCACAGTTGGATGTAGGTGGTTCTGAAAGACAGAAATTGTTGGGAACTGAGCTTCCGCCTGCTGGCAGGCTTCCTCAAGCCGACCTCGTGGCCCCAGCTCCTGATGGAGTCACTCGGCAGGTCTTTCAGAGTCTAATTTGCTGGGTTGTCTTCTTACCACTCGGTAAATTTCTCACACACTAACTCACTCGCTCTGATTGGAGGGTTGATAACTTCTGGGTAACAGAAACTAACACGTGTAAGAAAAACACCAGCATTGACTCAGCGCCTGCGCTGTCTTTCAAGCTACTCGTGTGCTACTATTCTCTCTGTCTCTGACTTGGAGACGCTCTCAGCTGAGTCCCAGGACTCCACTCTCGAAAGGTGTCTGTTAAAGATCTCACTGCTCATGTGAAGGTGCCATGTTCTCTCTGTCAGAGGCACTTTCCGGTCAACTCTGAACAAGCCCGGCTTTCACTGTTGATGTGGACGGACGCACTGCAGACAGGGGAGGGTCCATGGACTGTCCTTATCTGACACTGACTCCTGGTCAAGTGTGGGGCAGGATCCATGGGAGGAATGGCTGTGACCGTGTGTCTGTCCATGCTAGTGTCCCCTGCAGTGCCCCTTCCACAGTGACCGAGGCAGCTGCGATGGTGTGCGGCGTGCAGGCACCTGGACCAGCCCTGTGAGGCCAGTGGCGTCTCTTTGTAAAATTAACTTTTGACAGAATCGAGAGCGGCAATCAGGTAGGTCTGGAGTTTCTAGCAAGACTTGTACCAGCTCTGTGATGTTTGGCCTGGCCTTTTCCCTCCTGTGAATGGAGTCATGGTGCCTTCAAGTTGGTGTGAGGATTGTTGTTGTTGTTGATTGCCGTCGAGTCAAGCACGACTCACAGCAACTCTATGAACAAAAGACCTAATGTCTTTCCATAACTGTCATCATTTCACCAAGTTCATAGAGTTTCCAGAGGCATGTGGATGCCACTCCTGCTTCCTAACTTGTTTTACAACTGGGAGCTCCACCAAACACTGTCCACATTGGGAAACCTTTCTGGTATTTGATATCCCCCGTGGCACAAGGGTCAGCATTACAGCAACCCAGGTTACTTCACACTGAACATTGACAAAGAGTGTTGTATAAAGTTCAAGAGTGTTCCTCCAGATATAACAGCACTAGTTTCACTCAGCAGTGGTTAAGTGTCATCAAGTCGAATACAACTGAGAGTAAATTTTGCACAAAAGACCTAAACTCTGTTCTGATTAACATCATTCTTGTACAGAACTCTGTTCTATAACTACAATCATTTTTGTAAGAGTTTAAAGAGTTTGTAGAGTTTCCAGAGGTATCTAGTTTTCGGAAGTGGATGCCACTCCTGCTTCCCAGCATAAATCAGACTGGAAGCCCATCCAAACGTTGTACATAGTGGGTAATCATTATGCTATTTGACAAGACTGTGGAACAGTGTGCAGCATCACAGCAACACCAAGTTGTTCAGTTCAGCGAATAGAGGATTTCTGTGTCATTTGAGGACTATTCATTTGAGAATTAATAAATCTGGTCCGAGGGCTGCAGGTGTGAGGATTATATTTATATAAAATGCTCAGTAATTTTCCTTGTCTCAGTCTAACGACTCAGATCCTCCAGAAGCACAAAATGACTGGTAGTTCTCCAGGAAAGACTCTCCCCCCTTTGCCTCTGACCTCCAGTATATCTTTATGTTTTCATCCCTCATGTTTGTGGAGTCTCGACTGTTTTAATAGCTCTTGTACTCAGTCAGGCCAAACCAAACCTAAACACACTGCCATCAAATTGACTCCAACTCTTTGGAACCCGCACACAGGTTAGAATGACCCCATTGGGTTTCCGAGGCTGTGAATCTTTGCAGACGTGCACTGCCTCTGCGCCTTGCTCACAGGGAGCCGCTGGTGTGTTCGAACAGCCGGCCTAGTGCTTTAACTACAGTGCCACCAGAGCTCCATTCACTTCTGCCTCTCTGGAAACTGTGAACTTTGAGAAGCAATGATAGTTATGCAAAGGTTTCAGGTCTTTTGTTCATAGGGTCACTGTGAGTCGTGCTTGACTCCATGACATTCAACAGCAGTGCCAGAAGGCCAGCCCGCTACACAGGTTCTGGCCGTGGTGACCACACGTATGTCACAGTGGACCGTGCCCACACGGGCTTCAGGAGCCCAGGCGCCTCCGGGTGAACTGGAGCTTCCCCCACTTTAGCTAGCAGCTGGTCATGTCAGATGTGGGCACCAGTGAGGGACACCATGGCACGTGTTCATGGAAGATAAAATTGCAACGATGTATGTCCGTGTCCTGAAACGTAATGTAGATGGATTATTGAATGGAAAACCAGCGTGCACTGTAAACTTCTGCCCAGTTACAATACAGTTAATTTAACAAAAAAAAAAACAAAAACGTGCGAGTCCACAAAAACCTTCATGCACTAAAGTGGGCATTACTGAAGGGCCTCGTAGCGGCTTCCAGCAAGCAGACCAACGGCTCTCGGTGACACCACATTTGCTTGCTGGGTTTTTATATGACAACCTGAGATATAAACAGAGATGGTTTTGTTCTCACCATTTCACAGCTGTGAGAACAGAAACCATGGGAAGCCGTGCAGGTGAATTTAACCAGGAGAAACCCTGACATTGGGAGAGAAAGAAAGCTTTTAAAATAAAATCACTAGCGTTTGGGTTTGTTGTGGGGTGTTGATTTTTTTTTTTAAGCCAGGAAGCATGTGAACAGATGGTCATCATCCACTAATACAGAAATAAATCAAAGAGAGAGAGACAGAGAGCAGGAGAAAAGGGGTGATGGGATTAAGTAGAAACCATCTGGGGCAGCCGAGGGGCTGTGGGTGAGAAAGCCCACCCCCCACTGTTGCCAGTCCCCCTCCAACTCCTGTGGGGTGGAGGTGGGGGGGTAGAAGTGCCCCCGCTCCATTCCCAAGACTTTCATCCCTACAGTGTCCTCTGCCGTCTCCCATGGAGTAGCTGGTGGGCCCAGAACACCCACCTCAGTGTTAGCCCAGCTCCTGACCACTGAGTCACCGGACGGGCCAGAGAAGGCCAGAGGAGGACTTGTTCTGTGGCCTGATTTCCTCTGCACCCGAGTTTCCATTGATCCAGGTGAAGTCAGGTTCTTCCTGGTGACCCCAGCCCTGGCCCGGTGGAGGAGACCTCACCAGCATCCAGCGTCCTGCTTGTCCACGTGGGCGTTCCTGATGGTCGAGCTCTCCTCACATTTCCCATGAAATCCCAAGAGGACTGTGGATGTTGGAAGCTTGGAAACAACGCCCACACGACAGCCCATTAGGTCCCGCTGTCCATTTCCGACGCCGGACAGGAGTGTTCCCCTCGGGGTAATTGAGCAGTCGGCTCCACTCCCGTTCAGTTGGCTCCCAAGATCGAGCTTCCAGGCCCCCCTGGAGACAAAGGTCTGCAGCCTAATAGAGTTGACCGATGCCGAGTTTCCGGAGAGATCGTAGCCTTGTCCCTTCTCCTCGTTCATCCACTTCTTCACATCAGTCTTTCCTTGGTTCTTCTTAAACAATTCCACTGGGTTGGCGAGGACCATTTAGACTGTAATTTCCACTATATTAAGTTATCTGTTTTTCATACGAGTAAAGAGACATTAAAATGCTATAATTGTTACTTCTCGACCTTAAAAGCTACCGGCTAGCTATGTGAGCTACAGCATTTAAAAGCGGGGAGTATTGATTGACTGAGACCCGTACCTTTTGTCATTCTGCTCAGCCTCTAAGTGTCCTATAAACTCTCCAAAACAGTAATCCCCCTTCACAGGTTCCCATTCGGCCTTGCTCTGCCTCCCTTACAGCGGACCAAGGAGGGCTGAGAGAAGGATTTTATATCATGTTGACCACTCGTGATCCAGCATGTACGCACATTTTATGTTAAAATATGACCTAAAAGGGGGGGAATACAGAATTCTAAATTCTCAGGGGATCCCAAGTTTCTGGGTAACTGAGGCTAGACAAACCCCTGGAACTTTTAAAACATGATGTGGAAAGTAAAGTAAGAGGCCTTGGCCCCCTGTGCCCCCTCCACACCCCTCCTCTGGTGTATATCACATTCCAGCTCTTGCCCAGCCCTGCTGCTGGCCACAGGGAGAGGCGCTGCCTGACTCATGGAACATTGTGTTCATAGGTTTACAGGGATGCTGCCCGGCCTTCCTGGTCTCCATGGTAACCTGGGCTTCCGTTTCCTCTTTGGTACATTGAGGGTTGAAGGGGGATCCCCTAGCGTCCCAGCTCCATTACTTGAGTGTTCATTCACCTCTCACCTTTGAGTGCGTGAGGGTTGTGCCCAGCACCTGCTCACAGAGTCAGAGGTGGGACTGTTTGGGATGAGAGCACCCCTGATTCGGACCTCCACATCCACAGCTGTGCCTCTGCCCACAGATCTCGCTGTGGGCTGAGGACAAACAGCTCCTGCCTGGCCCGGCCTCCACGGCCTCCCGCTGCAGACGCCCGGCCTTGAGGCTGCCTCAGCCCCCTGCGCAGCTCCGGGGCAGCCGGGACAGCAGCCACAGCTCAGTGCTGCCTGGCTAGTAAACTCACGTAGGAGGTGCAGGCTATTCACCTCCACCAGCCCACCTGCCGAGGGTGCTGAGGGGCTGGGAGACCGAGCTGAAGAAAGGCCCAGAACAGACCCAGCAGTAACTGGAGGACGGCAGCACCACTTGTAATCGGCTTCAGAGGATGAGGACGATGGATAGCAGATGAGAGAGGCAGTAAGCTGGTGGATCCCTTTGAGAAGGAGGGACCAAGATAAGGAAGTGCTTAGCTGACGTCCTCTCTCTGGGTGGAAGACCCCCCTCTTGTCCCGTGCATGAGGACATGTACAGCTTTTTCTGTTCCTCATGGGGGTCACCATGTTTTCTCTCCCCTGGAACTTGGCCTTGTGGTGGACCAGCTCCCCTGTTAACCTGGAGAGTGAAGAGGGTCTGACGACATCGTCCCCAGGACCGTGGAGCTGCTTTGTCACCCTCTGGGGTGAACTCCGAGTTACATGCACATGATTTGGTAGATCCTGGGCTGTTGGTGCTGGAAGAGTCTTGGAGAGCCTGTGACCCAACCGTATTTTTCCACTTGAAAAAAAGGAGCAACTAGAGAGTGTGAGTGACCCAGAGATGGGACAGAATCCAGCCCGGAACAGCTCGCTCCCGATTCCACACGCAGAGCCACGTCCTCTACCTTCAGGTCTCTACAGCCTGAGCGTCCATCACCTGGTCAGCTGGCTCAGCATCCCTGGGGATTCTGACTGGACACTCGGAAGTGGGGCCCGTTCATCTGAGTTTTACCAGACCTGGGGTGTCAGCCCCCAGGAGCCTGAGAACCAGAGCTCTGGAGCCCGCTCCCCAGACAGCAGACCCTCCAGCTGCTCACAGGTCCTGCCTCTCACCACCCACCGGGACCCAGCCACCCGGCAGACACCTCATCAGACCCATCCTGGAACACCATCCTCAGTCTCACGAACAAGACAGGAGGTGGCGATGGAAGAAGGCTGAAACCCCTGGAAAAGAAGCCCTCGGCACCCTTCCTGTCCCCACAGAGTGTGGGTGCTCTGGGTAGTCTAAGGGGAGGGAGCCCAGACCCCTTCTCACTCACAGCTGTGACTGGACTCTCCCAGCTTCCACTGACACAACCTCTGGCCCCTCCTTCTGCACCTGGTGTATGAAGGCGCCCACATTCAGGAACCCCAAGACCAGTCAGGAAGGTTCCCCCTCCATGAAGACCCAGTAAGCATCACCACCACCTAATGACACAAGACAAGTCAGGAAGGGTCTCCCTCTGTGAAGACCCAGTGAGCATCACCACCACCTAATGACATTTCTTAATCCCCAGCTGGGCCGAGCTCACCCCAGTGAGAGGCAGCCTTTCATAATAGATTTCCCAGCCTTCGGAGGGACGCACTTTGGTTTGGAATTAGATCAAAGTAAACCAAATTCCCAGCTTTAAACTTGTTACCCATCCGCTTCCATCAGAGGAATCCTTTTCTAAACCACTTTCTGCGAGTAGAAGTTGCTTTATGACATTCCCCCCCACCTTAAATCTGGCTTTAATAGAAGAAATATTACCATGGAAATAGATTTTCATCTTCTCTAATAGGTGTTCCTTGTCTGGTGCTTATCCTTCAGAAGTTAGAATTGCAATTTGTTAGTGTTTTGTCTGTTATTGCTGTGCATTGTATAAATGGTTAATTACTTATAACTTAATCTGAATATTACACAGCCTTTGCCATAGAAGCTATAGAACAGGAATCAAGCATGAAAAAGTAAACTCATGTTTTCTTCAAAGAACAGAGAACGTCGTGTGCTGGGGAGGGGAGTGGGGGCAGACAAGTACTGAAAACAAACTAACTGGTCATGTTTTCAGGTAATCTGTAGCTAATGCAGAGCTGGCTGTGGCTTCTCTCACTGAATTCATTGATCCTTCTTCCTTCCTGCCGCACTCACCGGCTCCTCCTGCCTTTCACATTCTCTCTGGGTGGGTGTGAGTGATACATGTGTGAGCCACAGGTGAGCAGTTGGATCCACCAGCTTCTCTGAGGGAGAATCGGGGGTGTCTCCTCTTGAAAAGTTACCACCTCAGAAAGCAGCCGAGGGTGGCTGCAAGTCCATCCCATCTGTGCACTTGATGGGCTTTAGTTCTCTTCAGGAATTCCTCGGGTAGCGCAGACAGTGAGGCACCTGTCTACTCATTCAAAGCTTGGTGATTCGAACCCACCTCGAGGCACCTTAGATCTTCCAGAATGAAAACCTGTGGGGGACACAGTTCTCTGCACACGTGGGGTTCCCAGAGGGGGAACTGGCTGGGGCTTTCCTGTCGCGTTCCTCACTCAATTGGCTTCCACGCCCCACTTTCCCTGTCCCCCCTTGGTGAGGACATGGCACTGGGGCTCCATCTGGTCCAGGCCACGCCCACAGTTGAGAGACACTCACTTGTGCCCATTTTCCTGCTTCTCCACCCGGTGCGCTGGGTCTTGTGGAATCCGGGTGAGATGCTGGGTGAGCTCACACGCGACATGAGCACCTCAAGTGAGGACTGTCTTGCTGCAGGAGCTACTTTCGTGGCCTTGGTGCTGATCATTTGATAATCCAAGGTGACCATAATCTCTCTCAAACACCCTGACACAGCTGACACGCTGCTAGGAGAGGCAGCCGCCCTGTGGAAGCTGTAATCCTGTGATCAGTTGACGAGATTACTGTGTAACAAAGACGTTTCAGGAGGACGAAGGAGACGCCAGTTCTAATCACAAGACATGGCTCTCGCTGTCTTGGAAAAAGTACAGCAGAAACTTCTCTCCTACTTGGGGCATGTTGCTGGGGGAGGTTCTTCCTTGGAAAGGCACATCCTGCTTGAAAAGGTCAGCTAACGAGAGGAAGAGCCTCGGGGACATGGATTCCCACAGTCAGTGCAGCCGTGAGCCCCAGCGTCAGGGACGATGAGGGTGGCACCGGCCAGGACAGGCTCATTCACGTCTGTTGTTCACGGGCTCAGCTGTGAGTACTCTGTTCTTGACTTGATGACACCCAACACCACCCTCACTGCTGAGTCTGGCCCTCTGGCAGCTCAGGCTGCGGTAATTCACCAAGGAGAGACTCCGCGGAGAGCCACTTCTGGCCTGCAGCCATGATTTTGGGGAGTGCACCCCCTGTTTACACAGGGTGCCTCTGCTGGCCCCAGTGTATGAAGATGGCAGGCAAGGAACCTCCCTCCCCATTAAGATAAAGTGTTTGCGGTTCCCTAAATGAAGGAAGCAATTTAAAAAAAAAAAACTGGCAGAGCTGCTCCCTCGTTCTTGGGGGAATTTCCGATGTTAATTTATGCGGTGTTAAATTTATGCAGTGTTGAAATTCAGCCCAGCAGCTGCTCCTTCCAGAACCTCCCAGAGAGGCAGCGCCTGTCCGGAGGTGGGCAGTGAGGCTGCAGCCCGGGGCCTGGATCTGGGCCTGAGCCAGTTTGAGCCAGAACTCGGGATGTTCTACCAAAGAACTCGTTTTCCTTCCCCTGAAGTTCAGCACTTGTTGCTGTCTCCGACAGAAATGGGGTGGTTTTGTGCTACCCCCGCCACACTTTGGGGTGACCAAACGTGGTCTGCCAGCGTGCCTGTCATTCCCGCAGGGCTCTCTGGCCCCCAAAGCCTGCACAGTCACCAGGTGTACCCTGGAGATGAGCGCTCGAGCTCATGTAGCCGCATGTTTTATGAATGTGGCTGGAAGGTATTAAGGCCCGCTGTCCCTCTGCTTGGGACTTGCTCTCTTCTGGGGCTTTCTGTCAGAAAAAGCCTCCCTCGCTCAGAGGCTGGCCCAGCGCTGCGTGACCGGCTGAGAAATGACCCCTGTTACTGAGTTGCAATTTGAGAGGAGAAAATCATAGGAAGAATCCCCAGACCCTTTTTAAAAAAACACCAGACAGTTTTTCATTGAGATTTTACCTGGAAGCATCCAACTTCTGCACGTGCCACTCAGTGACACGGGCTGCGTTCTTCAGACCGCGCCACCACCACCCCCTTCCTGGACAGAGAGAGGGGTGTCTCCCGGTGACCGTATGCCCCCTGCCCTGACCTTTCTCACCAGATCTTTGGTGCAACTCTTGTGACTTTGGTCCTGGTTCTTGTTAGAGCTCAGTGGTCAAAGCAGGTAGTCGTTCTCCCCTAGAGAAGATGGAAGGTGATCGCTGTGGTGACCAGAAACGACCCCACCCATTTCCACATGCCCCTGGCTGTGGGCTAGCTCACTGTGGTGCACAAGGACACACTTGCACATATGCACACACGCCCACACACGTGTGCACACACAGCATGACCCAGGCTGGGCCCCCTCGTTGAGGGTGGTCTTGGCCTGACACACGAGGCCCGACTCAGCATTGAGCATGAAATGCATTGACGGTCGTGACAGAGGGGTTAGCTTTTGAGACCAGGAAGCACCTACCTGCCTTGTTTTATGTGCTATTAAAACAGGTACTGAAAAAGCCGCTGACAGGTCATCCTCACAGTGCCTGCTAGCCGTTAGTCCCCTCATGCCGCCTGGAACTCAGACCTTGTGCTTCTCTTGCAGGGCATGCTCGAGAAGGGAGGCTAAACCAGCCTGGAGAACGAGCCCAGCTCCCTCCGCCGGAACTCCAGAGGTGGAATACTTCTTTTTCTCCTAATAAGATAATACTCTATTGAACGAGAAGAACATTCTAGAGAAGCGTCAGAGAGCTCATTCAGTGGAAGCAAAAAGCAATTTGATTGGCAAGGTTGCAAAGCCAAGGCTAAGGTCTGGGGTGGGTTACCAGCCCCACGTGGTAGTCACAGTAGAAAGGGCGTGTCTGCCCCCCTTGTCCTGTCCATTCACTTCAGCCACCCACGCCCCATGAGTCTCTCCTGACCCCTGGCAGCGAGCACGGCCGGGGAGGGGGCCCCACGGCTGGGCAGAAGGGTGCAGGCTGTGGCACTTGGGTTTTCTGTCTGTTCTCTAATTTAAAGTTTTAACTTGAGACAATGATCTTGTGCAGAAGAAGACAGAGAACCTGTTTTCATGAAATCATGTTTATGATTGCAAGTGACACGAGGCCTTTTCCATCAATGTAAAGACAGTCTTGGCTTCCTCAGACCTCTTCTCTATCATGAATAGTGACATCTGTACTTCCTTTGGTTTCAATAATAAATATATTTTCTGATGAAGACTGGCTTTGGAGCCTGCGGCCTCTTGTGTTCCTTGGGCTGGGAGAGCTGGTTGTACTGCTGGGAACTCTGGGGGTGAGTAGAGGGTGTACCCCAGCTCTGTGTGTGTGGTGTGGTACACCGCAGGCAGATGATTAGGGCTTAGGCAGGTAGCATATGGTCAGATCTTTACAACTTACGTGGTTATATGAACCTTCCTTTTTCTGGGACCATAGTCATCACCCTACCTGGGGTCAGAACAAGGTGAGATAACCGTGCTTAGGAACTCTTGGCCCTAAGAATTGTGAAATGCTTGGCAAGGAGGAGAAGCCAGTACTTGGAGTTTTCCTTCTTCTTACTTCATTAAAACTTGTTAATTATAACTGTAGGTTTCCTACCTGGGGCCCTGTGTATCCACTCCAGCTTTGAGGAAGTTGGAAACAAGTATTCACTGTGGACCTCTTTAGGGGAGTGGAAGCGATCCAGTGCTCTGTGATGTCCAGACATCTTTGGTCATGCGCCCTTTCGTTTAATTTCTTAAACCCATCACTTGGCACTGGAGCCAGCTCCTGGTGGACCCTCCAGCAGGTTTTCTGTGAGTAAATCACGTGGGAGGTGATTACCTGTCTTTATTCCTCAGAGCTGCTGGTGGATTTGAACCCGAGGAGAGGTGCCACCCTTAGATCGGCAGAACAACTCCCTGTAGCTGCCGCAGATACAGGACTTTGCAGTGAGGAGGGGCCGTGTTCACATTCTGGCCTTTTAAGTCACCAGCTGTGTGAGCTCGAGCACGTCCGTGAACCTTACTGGGCCCCCTTCTTGTCAGCAGCGAAAAGGAAAGGGCAGGAGAGGCCCTCC